TTATATATTATATACTTTATTCCAAAAAAAAACTTTCAGTGTGTAATGTGAGACAAGAGTCTGGTAAGAGGGTAGGTTGTAGGGGAAAATGTTTTTTAATAGTCAACAAAACTCAGAAAATGGCAGTTGTTTATTTTCACTTGAAGTGAAGTGCCTAGTAATTAGTTAGCACTGATTCTACTTTCCTATTTTAACAGTGATTTTAGTTCATTAGCCAATTCAGAAAGGTGACACCCTAGGAAGTTGTTTTCTTTTACATCCAATTCTAAAGAGCTCTTTATAAACTGAATTTGTACAGAGTAAGCCAAGGAGATTGGTAACTTTACCTTTATTCCAAAATGATGCATCAGAGTATTCTGGATAACTGGAATTTCACTGTTCAGAGTTCTGTGTCCCAATTCACCATCTTCCTAAGCATCACCTTAAGACTATAAATATAGCAACTTTTTCCATTATGGTTCGTAAATATTAACTAAACTGCTTCCTGTGCATGCATACATGATCTTTCAGATGAGTCATCTATTTGGAAAGAAAGGTGACAATGATCAACATCTTTGATAAAATTTTTTAATGAATTTGAATAAAATATGTTGGAGGACATCTAATGCTGTTTCTACAATTACAAGACAGAATGAACTAGAAAGACAGCATATATTTCTGTCATGTTAATAGTACACAACATCAATATTTTAATTACTTGTGGATCAGAAATGCAGATATTGAGTACTTTTGATTATACCACAGACCTAAATGTTTATATCCTGGAATGGAGAAGCAGATTGCCTGAGGATTATAGTATTACATGCCAGAAAACAGGTTTTAGTCTCCACAGTGCTCTAATAATTAAAAGAAAGAGCCTTAATGAGAATTTGTCTAGACCATACATGGTAACAGAAAGAAAACTTACAAAGTCTATATAATGTGTGTTTGGTACAGTGGAAAGTAGTCTAGGAGTAAATTTATTAAAACCTCCCTGTAGTCTTTTAAGATTATTTATGCAGATAAAATATGGAATATAGTTCTCCACAGATTCTAGTAAATCACAAGAGGCAGAAGGAAAGAGCCTTTACTTTTTTAGATTAAACATTTTACTTCCTTGCCATTTATAGTATGCAAAGTAAAAAGTATTTTGATTAACATTTTATATCTTTCATCAAAATATGAAAGAAAAAATTTTATACTAATGCATGAATAAATGTTAAAGAAATTTAGAGTGGTGATTTCTAAATAATAATCTAGGAAAGACCACTACTCTGTTACTAACTTAATATATGAATGATGCTGTTGAGTTGTCTTGCTAAGGCATTGAAAACTAGAAGGTGTCAGTTCTGTAAAACTTTTAAAACTTTAAAGAGTACTAAAAATATTAAAATAGAGTTGACTGAAGTTCCTAATAGGAAAGTAATGAGAATTTTATGTTCATTTTTAAATCTTATGATTGTCTTCTCTTTACAATTAAAAACATCATTTGATCATATTTTCAAACCAGAACATTCAACTACTTCAGTGTTCTTTGATTGCAAAATTGTTTTGAAAATATTGAGGGAGAGAATTTAAATGTGCTTTTGAAGTCTTTCAAATAAATATAGTATAA